AAAGAAAGAAAGAAAGAAAGAAAGAAAGAAAGAAAGAAAGAAAGAAAACGTCATTAAAAATACATACTGGTGAGGCAAAATGTATTCCAATTATAATCGTGTATGAAGTATGAAAACGTTGAATGTGACCATCCAAAAAAAAAAAAAAAAAAGAGTTAACTGGCTGGGACAGTGAGGCTTATGGGACCGCCTTCCTCTGAAGGTCCCGAACTTTTCTTAGAGATAACAGTGAGGAGGATCACACAAGGTCCCGGGGGCACGTGCTGTAGGGTATCAGTAACCAGCCGTTAGCCACTTAACCCTTTGGCTGTCGGAAACTGCCAAGCAGACGGGCTCTAGGAGAAGGGAAAGATCCGGACCTTCTGGGTGTGTCTGGTCCCCAGCCTGGCGTTGGGGTTGAGGGGAGGAGAAATGGATGAGAGGAAGTAATAGCTAGTATGATAATGTGCGTGGAAGTGGGAGAGGAAGAGGAAGGGAGAAGCAGGGGTGGGGTCGAGAAGGGGAGAGAATAGGCCTGGAGGGAGGGGCGGAGTTTAGGGAGACCTGGGCGGGGTGACTCTTAGGACCCAGAGAACCCCTCGCTCATCGGTCGCCTGGAGCAAATAAGTCCTTGTTACTGGCTTAGTTTCCCCAATTGCGCAGAGTGCCCGAAGGTAAGGATAATATACCCTATGTGACCTAGGGAGAGGAAAGAGGAAAGGAAAAGGAAAAAGGAAAGGGAAAGGGAAAGGAAAGGAAAGGAAAGGAAAGGATGCTCCCCGTTCGGGTGCATGGAGGTGCATCTATCCCTCTGTCTTTCCATCTGTCAGTCACTGTATCCTTTCATCGGTGCCTGCTCCTTTCAAGTCTTCCAGACATCCTCCCAGAACCTTGGATATCCCTTGCCCTGGGGTTTGTGGAAGGGGGTGGAAAGGGAAGAGGGGAATGGCAGAACAAGGAGAGTGTGTGTGTGTGTGTGTGGGGGGGGGGTGTGTCAGAGTGATCACCCTGAGCTGGATGTATCCCTTATCTTCAGGTGGACTGGGGCTTCCCTTAATTCCTGAAGATTAACTTCACCTGCCCCGGAAAGGTGAGGGAGGGGTGGAGAAGGAAGAGGGAGGAATAGAACCAAGTGGGCATACAGACACAGGGTAGGGGGAGGGGAAAATCCAGATTTAAGGAGGGATCAGTGAAAGTTCCTGAGGGGAATCATCTTAGGGTGAATCGGGGAGGGTGGCCATCTTTGGGGGACCTTCCCATCAGAAGTTGCCCCTCCACTTCCCTGGATTCCACCCATGACTCCTTGCCTAGGCTCCCCAGATCTGGACTACCCACCCTAATGGTGTCCCTACTACTACTGCTACTGCTCTTGCTGCTATTGCCGGCACCAGTCCAGCTGTGGGCACAGCTGGAAGACACCTGCCAATGGCAAGTGGTACTCAACAAGTACCAGACCTTGGGAGAGGGCAATGAAAGGTTTTTCAATCAAGAACCAGTTTCCGACGTAGACAAATACTTCGAAGAACTAGTGGATTCACCCATCGACCATGAAGAGGTAGATGCCTGGCCCAGCTGCCCCTCTGGCCTTCCCCCCCACCTGTATTCTCTGTCCCTTCCACACCATCCTTCTAGCCACCCATCCACCCCTCTCTGCCTTTCCATCTTTCCAACTGTCCTCTGACCCTCCAGTCTTCCATCTATTCCACTTTGCTCCTGTCTGTCCACCCTGGCGTCTCCTTGGGCAAACAAGTCCCTTTCACCTATCTTGGCCTCAGTTTCTTCACTTGTGAAGCGAGGAGGTTGGACAAGAGGGCCTCTAAGGTCCCTTCCAAATCTCAATCTCATCTCTGTTCTTCCGTCTCTCCTTTCATTCTTCCCTTTTATCCCTCCTCCCGCTCATCTATCCCTGTGTCTTTCCATCTGTCTGTCATGGTATCCTTTCATTGGTGCCTCCTCCTTTCAAGCTTTCAAGTCTTCAGGACACCCTCCCAGAGCCTTGGATATCCCTTGCCCTGGGGCTCGTGGAAGAGGGTGGGAAGGGAAGAGGGGAATGGCAAAATAAGTGTGTGTGTGTGTGTGTGTGTGTATTTGTGGTTGGGGGGAGGTCAGGATAATCGCACTGAACTGGATATATCCCTTGTCTTCAGACGTACTGGGGCTTCCCTTACTTCCTGAAGATTAACTTCACCTGCCCTGGAGAGGTGAGGGAGGGGTGCAGAATAAGGAGGGAGGAATAGAACCAAGTGGGCATACAGACACAGGGTAGGTGGAGGGGAAAATCCAGATTTAGGGAGGGATCAGTGAAGGTTCCTGAGGGGTGGGGAATCATCTTAGGATCAATCAGAGACGGGGGCCTCTAGCTCACCCAAACCATCGTTGGGGGCCCCACCCATCAGAGCTTGGCTTCCTGCCCCCAGCATCTTCCCTCCCTTCCTACCCAGCTCCCCCAGCCTAAAAAAGGAGCTTCTGGACACTGCCATCGCTGTTCCCCCAATCCAACCTTTTTCCATGTTCTAATCCTCAGTGCTCTCCCAAAATGGAGAGACCTTGGAAGATTCCCTGGAGGCTGAAGAAAGGGAATGTTGTCTCCTCTGACAGATGGGAAACTCCATCCCTAGAGGCCAGTTCCTGTGTGGCCTTTCCAGGGAGGCTGGTTGTGCAGGAGGACTCCTGTTGATAAGGAAGGCATGGGTGGGGATCCCAGGAGGAAACTTGGATCCTGGAGGGCTCACCTAGCCTTCAAGATGGTGCTGGTGCCTTTATTGACCCACAGGGTACTTTCTTATCTTTAGTTTCTCTCCAGCTTCCAGGAATGGAGTCAGTATTTTTGCCCTGGGTTTTTGCCCGGCAGAGTTCTGTTCTCTGCCGCAGCTCCCTATCCCCTTCATCCAGATAGGCAGGGTCAGAGGCCTTTGCCTAAGGCCAGGGCCCAGGCCTAGGCACATGGTGGGTGGGATGGGGGGGTGGTCTGGCCATGCTCATAGACTGGTCAGTGTCATTCCCTCTTTGGCCTCCTCTCAGAATTCAGAAGCCTTTGTCCGTGGAGGCCACCTTAAGGGCCTGATCCCCATTGTGCTGGTCACCTTCTACGCCCCCGTGAATTTCCGGAGATGGAAGGCAGAGAGGTTGCAAATCGAGATGAAGGGAGCACCATTCAGAAGACATGGTGAGGGTCCTCCCCAAGCAATGGGCTGGGCACCAGGGGTTAGGAAGGACAATGTCTTGGAGAAGGGGGCTGCCAGAGGGCTCTTGCCAAGAAGTTGGACAAGATGAGGAGTAGATCTCTCCTTACCAGTTTAGCACCTGAGACATGGGTGGGTATAGGCCTGCACACCAGGCCTCGTGAGGTCCAAATCCCTAGACACTCACCTGGGGCACCCAGAAGCCCCTGCTGCCCAGTCAAGAGTTCAACGGCAGGTCACAAAAACCTTGGAATCCCCACACTAGCTGGCCACCTTGGGTTTTTACCTTTCCCCTCAGTGGTTTTTGTGCCCACTTTTTACCCTTGGGTTCAGTTGTGTTTGAGTAGGGTAGAGCGGCCCATCCCTCAGAAACTTGGCTTGTTAGACCAAGCTAATGATCCCTAAGGACCCCCATCCTCTATGGGAGAGGTGAAGAAAGCACAGCTCACCCTGAGGTCTTGCACCCTGCACCAAGGCCCCAGTCCCTCAGTAGGGTTCTAGTAAGGAGGGAAGGTGAGGCAGTGCTGGCTGGGTGGGGGGTAGCCTCCACCCCTGTGCCCACCTCATTTCATCCCATACCTACCAGTGTCCTGCTTGGCTGAGGAGGCCTGTGTCATGAATTGGTATACCCCCATGCCCATGAAGAATGGCACTGTAGTGATGGAAGTCGAAATCTCCAGCAACCAAGTCGGGGAGCTCATTGGTGATACCAGGTGAGTGGAGTCCCAGGCATCTTTGTGGGCAACGGGGGATGGGGAAAGCACAGCTGAACTCACTGACAGCAAAGCCAGAATCTGGTTTGTAGACAAGAGGGCTAGACTAAGTGAGCAGAATCTCAAGACCAAAATTGACCCAAGAGATTACCTAGACCAATCTACTACCCCCAGCCCCATTTTACAGATGAAGAAACTGAGGCCCAGGGAGGCTAAGTAAGAGATGAGTACAATATACGCTCTCTGAGGGCTTAGCACATGGTAGGTAAGCAATAAATGTTTGTTGAATTGAGTTGGATTAAAAGAGAAAGATCCCTCATACACTTGAAACTTATTAGCAGTGGGTGACTCTGGGCAAGTCCCTTAACCCTGATTGCCTCACCAAACAGAAAAAAAAGGATCATAGATTATAGAAAACTTTACCTGGGAAAGCTCAGAGGCCATGGAATCCAACCCCTTCATTTTACAGATGAGAAAACTGAGGCCCAGGGAGGGGCTTAGCCCTGGGAGGCATCTTCACAGAAATGCTGACTGAACCCACAGCAACCAATGAGAGATCACCAGCTGAGATAGCATAGAGGGGCAGAGCCAAGGTGGCAGTATCCAAGGTCACAGAGGTCCTAGGTGTCAAAGGCAGGATTTTAATCCAGGTCCTCTGACTTCAAGCTCAGCGTTCTTGTCACTACACCAGGTTGCCTCCTGTTCAGGGCCAGGGACATGAGACCTGAGAGGGGCAGTGTCTGGGCATCAAGTTAGGGTGAGGGGTGAGAAGTCTCCATTGAGTCTGGCAGGAGACTAGGTGGCTATTCCCCCTCCCTCTGCAGGTACATGATAAATATCAATGGGTTTCTGAAAAAAGACAAGGACAAACTGATCTTTACCCTGGGAAGTGAGGTGAGAACAAGTAAGGAAGGGGATGGGAGAAAGGCTGAGGGGTAGAGGGTGGGGGGGGGAGCTAATCCTCTTAACTGAGCCTCCTGGCTAAGATGGGGGAAGCCAGTGTCTCTTCCCTTCTTCTCCCATTGTGTCCCTTGGACCTCTCCCATTAGGTCACGGCCATGACCCATAGGCACTTCATCAATGCACCATCTAGGCCTGTCTGGGCTACAGTGGACCAGGCTCCTGTGCTCATCCTTGGGGGTATTCCAGAGGAGAAGATGATTCTCATCTCTGACTCCAGCTTCAGGGACATCTCCCTGGTGGAGGTGAGGGAGGCTGAGTGGCAGCTGACTGTGTGGGTGGAGGGTGGGCAAGAGAGGACATTCTCTAGACTTGGGAAGGGAGGGAGGGAAGGAGATACTGATGCCCAGGAGTGGGGTGTTGCAAGACCTCACCTAAGCCAAGGGGCACATGGCCTCATCCCTCTGCCAAGGAGGCATCATGGTATGGGATGTGGTGGGGATGGTGGGGGAGAGGTGGGGAGGGAGCTGGGTTCCAGCCTCCATTCTGCCTCTTAGTTGCCAAGTCCCTTGGCCAAGTCTCTTCATTCTGAACTCTTTGAGACTTCAGTGTCTTTATAAAGGAGGGGGCTGTGGTGGCCTACATGATCTGTAAGTCTCCTTCCTGCTCTCAATCCTGTGAATCTCCATTCCTGCACTGGTTGGCTCAGCTGAGCATCAATAGCTGCTGGCTGGGCTCTCTTCACTGCCCTCAGGAGCACTTCACAGCCACCATCTATGACACCATCTCCACTGAAAGCGTCCTCTTCATCCGACAGAACCAACTCGTCTACTATTTCACTGGCAATTACTTCAATGGGCCTGCAAAAGGGCCTAGCACCAGTGAGAAAGCTGGGGATGGGAGGAACTGTGAGAGTAGGGATTGGGCCCTCCCTCCTAGATCTAGCCTCTCCCCCTCCCCACTCTGGTCAGACTGGCTTCTCTGATTCTGGAGTCTGACTCCCACACAAAGGAGAGTCATGATCTAAGAGACCATGGAATGCAGAGCCTTGAACCAGATGCTGAGGAAGAGCCAGCTGGGGTGATGAAGGGAAGAATGACTCAGGGAATTTGAGGACCAGTTTGATGGGTTTACAGGAGTGAACCTTTGGGAAGTCTGATAGGTGTCCTTCCATGGAGAGAGTTGGCATGTCTATGGGCACCTTATGGAGAAGACGGGATTGCCAGTGGGCATGTCCCCTCTCTCCATGAGGAGGAACCCCAAGGGCTTGCCTCTCTCCCTGTAAGCTCATCTAATTATTAGGCGAGCTCATCAGATTACCCAGAGTTTACACAAGGCCAAGTTCCCTCCCTTGTCTTGGAGCCCATAGCAGGGTCATGATCTAAGCAGAGATTCTAGAATATCTGAGAGCTCAAGAGAGAGGCAAAACTAGGGGTGTGTATGTGGGAGGGAGGCAGGTTGCTTTTTCAACAGCAATCTTGGGGAGGTTATGGAGGCTTCCTGAGAGAAGCTAAGCCATTCTCAGATGGTCCTGAGAAGCTTCTGGGATTGAGTTTCCCACTGGAAGAATGAGGGGATGCCAGTTTTGGAGGAGGGAGGGGGGAGACTCCCAGTCCTGAGAAATGCCTTACATCTCCCCAGGCAATTGGGTCCAAGTCTTGCATAGTCACTGTATCAAGAAACTTTGTCCTGTGGAATTCCACAGCAATGGCTCTGAGTACATCTTGGCCTTGGCTGGAGGTGATCAGGAAGGCTTCTTCCACTTTGGGATCATCACAGGTAGCCCCCTTCAGCTTCCTTTCTCTGAAAAGGGACCCCCAGCCCCTACAACTGTGGGGTGGTGATGTGGGACCCAAGGTTCTGTCAGGGCCTCCTTTTCTTGAACCTTACACTTCCTTTCACCTCTGTTCGAATAAATATTTATTAAGGATGGGAACTTTAGAGTACCTCCAAAGACCAAGCTGCCTGAATGGCAACAATGCATTTTTTTAATCCATAAGGCAAAGCAAATCAAGACAATAGGATGAAAAACTTAATTCAAAGTAAAATCATAATATCTGGTTATAATTATTTGTATTTTAAATGCATTTGCACAGATAGGAAGAATTATAGCAAAACATAAAAAATAATTTTTACATCAATTGATGTACCTGGTCCTTCTACTGTTTTAACCTGCTTTGAATGTACAATGTTATCACTTCTGTCATTTCTTACCTATATGACCTTGAACAAGTCTCTCTCACTGGGTCTCAGTTTCCTCATCTGTAAATGAAAGGGTTGCAGTAGATGGCCTATGAGGTCCATTCCAGCCGAGATCTGTCCTAAATTTAATTTTGAGTTTGAAATGCCCATGAGAAAATGAAAATTGGTTCCTGCATTCAATTGGGGGATACATTACATACATATATATGTAAATGTAAAATAAATTGAGGGGAGAGAGCCTTAATGAGGGGGTACAGGAAGTAGCACCTCAGTGTGGGACATCCGTTGCAAGACAGAGTTGGTAGATGGAATATTGGTACTTCTAATTTTGACTGGAATGGTGATTGATGAAAGGGGAGCAAAGAGAAATAAGCCTGGAGAGTTAGTTTGGAGAAAACTTCAAAGGGCTTTAAATGCCAAATTGAGGAGTGTGTATTTTATTCTGGAGGCAATGGGGATGAAAATTTTGCAGTTTTTGACTAGGAGTATGACCTGGTGGTACCTGTGCTTTAAGAATATTAATGTGGCAGCTATGTGGAGGTTGAATTAGAGAGGGGAGATCCTGGAAGCAGAGAGACCAATTAAGAGCCTGTTAAAATAGTTTAGGCAAAGGTGGTGAGAGCCTGAACACCATGGTGTATGGAATAAGGAGGTAAAGAGATGGGGATGGATTTGACAGACATGGAGATAAGACTTGGTGACTGCTTGGATATAAGAGAGAAGGAAGAGAGAAGAACCAAGGATAATTTTAGAATTGTAAGTCAAGATGACTGGAAGGATGATGGTATCCATAACAGAAACAAGGAAATTTAGAGAAGGGTGGCTTCCTGGGGAAAGAGAACAAGTTTCATTTTGAATTTGGGGTGCATCAAAATGTGTATTGGGCATCAAGATAGAGATGTCTAGCAAAGTAATTGGTGACATGGGCCTGGTGTTTTGGAGAGAGGCTAGGGCTTGACACAGTATACAGATTTGGGAATCATCTTCATAGGAATGATTATTGTCCCTGTAGCACCTAATGACAGATCACCAAGTAAGATAGTGTAGAGGGGCAGAGCAGGGATGGGAGAGTAAAGTGAGCTTTTTTTCCTGAGCTCTCCCAATATTCCCCACTAAATTTTCTTTTCTTTTTTCTTTTTTTTCTTTTTCTTTCTTTCCTTCTTTCTTTCTTTTTTTGGTGAGTCAATCAGGGTTAAGTGACTTGCCCAGGGTCACACAGCTAGTAAGTGTCAAGTGTGTGAGGCCAGATTTGAACTCAGGTCCTCCTGACTCCAAGGCCAGTGTTCCATCTACTGTGCCACCTAGCTGCCCCCTTCACTAAACAATTTTCAAAAGTGCATCAAATCAAATTTTAAGTGGAATGACCAACAAAAAGTCACAGTGAGTCATTCTTCCAGCCCCACGTGGCTTAGGAAGCTAGAAAGAAGTCTGCAGACTCCTGGGGTGGGGGCTGGCTGGGGGTGCATCATGATGGAAACAACACCAACTTGGCCCTGTAAACACAGTAGCGGCACCAGCAACAGGTACTGGGAATGCTTAGCACCCAGAAGACAGTAAGGGTGTTGAATAGCTGGTCAGGAAAAAAAGCGCACGGGACCTCTGTGCTAGCACGGGGTTCAGAGCCAAGCACCATTTCATTACACAATTCCAAGCTGTACTTCCAGGGTAGATAGGCGTCCTTACGGTTGTAAGGAAGCTGGGGGTCCTATCTAGGAAACAACCAGAACACAAACCAAGAGGAGGGCCATGACCCGAACTCGCCCCAGATCACAGCACCTTGGAAGCACCAATAATGTATAGCCCCACCCCTCCAGATCTAGCCATGCAAACAGCACGACATAAAAGCCTGAAGTTCAGGCCAGTCACCCGCTCACACAGACACCCATCCCAGAGGGGAGCAGGGCCCAACTTTAAAAGTCGAAAGTCAAGAAGTAGGCTCGAAAATGAGCTAACGATAAAACAAACTTGATCATGAAAATCCTTGGTGGCAGGGAAGCTCAAGACAAAAGCTCAACACACCCGTAAGCAAAGCCTCAAAGAAAAATGTAGAGTGGGCACAGTCCTGATAAGAATTCCTAGAAGTAATAAACAAAGTTTTTTTTAAAAGATTTTTAAAAATCATATGACAGAGGAAAAAATGGGAAAGCAATGAGGGCAATGCTAGAAAATTATGAAAAGACAACAACTTGGTAAAAGAAGTCCTAAAAAAGCTGAAGAAAATAACTCCTTAAAATTCGGAATTGGTCCAATAATTTTTTAAAAAGCAGTTATACAACCACAATGAAGGAAAAAAACCTTAAAAATGAGAATTGGTCAACTAAATGCTAATGTCTCCATGTGACATCTAAAAAAAGCAAAACAAAGTTAAAAGAGTGAAAAAATAGGGACAGTTAGGTGGCACAGGCCTTGGAATCAAGAGGACTGGAGTTCAAATCCAGCCTCAGACTCTTGACACTTACTAGCTGTGTGACCCTGGGCAAGTCACTTAACCCTGATTGCACACACACACACACACACACACACACACACACAAATAGAAGAAAATGTGGAATAGCTCGTAGGAAAAATAATTGACCTGTAAAATACATCAGGAAGAGATCATTCAAGAATTATTGGATTACCTGAAAACTCTGATTAAAAAAAAAAAAAGAGCCAAGACATAAGATATCATAGAACCAGAGGGCAAAGTAGAAATTGAAAAGATCCACTTATCACCTCTCAAAAGAGGTCTCAAAGTGTAAACTCTCAGGAATCTTATAGCCCAATGCCAGAGCTCTCAGGTCAAGGAGAAAATACTTAAAGCAGCCAGAAAGAAACATTTCAAATACCATAGAAGCACAGTTAGGATCACATGAGATTTAGCAACTACCATGATAAAGAAGTGGAGGGCTGGGCGTGTGATATTCTGGAAGGTAAGAAGCTAGGATTATACCAAAGAATAACCTACTCAGAATAACTGAGCATAATCTTACAAGGGAAAAAAAATAATTTTAATGTAGTACAAGACTTCCAAACATTCCTAATGAAAAGACCAGAGCTGAATAGAAAATATGATATTCAAACACAAGATTCAAGATATGCATAAAAAGGTAACAGTGAGACATCATAGGGAACTTAATAAAATTAAACTGTTTATATTCCCAAATGGGAAGCTGATACATGTATGCAACCCCTAAAAACTCAATCATCATTACAGCAGTTAGAAGTAATCTACTTAGACAGAGGGTATGGGTGTGAGTGTTTTGTTGGGATGATCTCAAAATAAAAATGGAAGAGTGAGAAAGAGGGATGCACTGTGAGAAGGAAAATTATCTGACATAAAAGAAGTTCTCAAGGAAGAGTCTTCACAATGAAGAGGAAAATAGGGGGCTAGAGTAACCTGGCAATGATTGAACCTAATTCTTACTGAACTGGTTCAAAGGGGGAAGAATACACACACACACACACACACACACGTGCACATACACATACATATATGTGTATATCTGTATATGTATTATATACACATATATACACACATATGTATATGTGTGTGTGAGTGTGTGTATGTGTGTGTGTATATCCCCCACACACAATTGGGTATAGAAATTCATCTTACTCAACAGGGAAATAGGAGGGGAAGGGACTATGAAAAAAAAGGATAGTTATGATAAGATGGAAAGTAGTTTGAGGGAAGCAGTGGTCAGAAGCAAAACAGAATTTTTAGAAGGGAACAAAATTTAAAAAAATAGAAGGATAAATAGAAGAGAATAGGTTGGGGGAAAATATATATTTAGGAAGTATAATTGTGAATGTGAATAGGATGAACTCACCCATAACATGAAAGAGGATATCACAATGTATTAAAACAAGAACCTAACAATATGTTGTTTAAAAGAGCCACACTTGAAACAGAAAGACACACAAAGAGTTAAAATAAAGGGCTGGAGCAGAATCTTGTGCTTCAGCTGAAGTAAAAAAAAAGGGGGTAGCAATCTTGAACTGAGATAAGGTAAAAATATAAATAGATCTTTAATCAGGAAAACTGCATTTTGTTAAAAGGTATCATTGCTAAAAGATAACAATGAATTAATATTAATACTGAACATGTATGCATGGCATATATGGCATGGCATCCCTGTTTTTTTTTATCCATTTTTTTTTTGTTTTTGCTTTTTGGTGAAGGGATCAGGGGTAAGTCACTTGCCCAGGATCACACAGCTAGTAAGTGTCAAGTGTCTGAGGCCAGATTTGAATTCAGGACCTCCTGACTCCAGGGCTGGAGCTCTATCCACTGTGTCACCTAGCTGCCCCTTTTAATCCAAATTCTTAAAAGTCAAATGAATTATAAGAGGAAATAGACAGTAAAACTATAATAGTGGGGGACCTCAATTTACTTCTCATAGACCTAGAAAAATCTAACCATAAAATAAAAAAGAAGTTAAGATGAATAGCATTTTAGAAAAGATGTGGAGAATATTGGACAGGGATAGAAGAGTATACCACTTTTCACATGGACATGACACCTTCACAAAAACTGACAACGTGTTGTGACATAAATCCAGAAACAAATTCAGAAAGGCAGGACTATTGAATACATGCTTTTTGGATCATAATGCACATAACACAAGATTTGTAGCAGGGCATGTGGACACGCTATCCTGCTGACTGTCAACTGTCAGGACACAAGATGTATTCAAAGGAACAGTTGCCCTGATTACGCTTAATGTAGAGTAGTAGACCCTTTGAGAGATTCATGAGTTACCAGAGAAAGTTCAAGCCATGCCAGCATAGGAATATAGATGTAGGTTTATTAGGGTTAATTGGTGGGATTTATTCACAGGACTAATCCTTGCCAGCATGAAGACTGCACAGTGGATCCCTGCATTACCCTTAGGCTAGGTCAGGTGTTATATAGAAACAGAACAAAGATGGCATAGTGCAAGGGATGGCCCAGCATCATATACAAGTGTTTGTTCCCATGAGTTAGTTAGAGCTCCTTTTGCTGTTTACATTCATTCAAGATAGTTTAATTAACTGTGATACTCAAGGTCTTGTTCCCGGGTCCTGGCTCCCACTGTACAATGCAATAAAAATTACTTTCCCTAAAGGACCTTGGAGGTATAGATTAAAAACAAATTGGAAAGTAAATAATCCAATCTTAAATAATGAGTGAATCAAAGAACAAATCATAGAATAATTTCATTCAAGATGATGACAGTAAGGAGATGACATAGCAAAATTTGTAGGTTGCAGCCAAAGCAGGATTTAGGAGAATTTTATATCTCTGAATACTTACATTAATAAAAGAGAGAAAGAGTAGATCACTGGATTGTGCTTGCACCTAAAAAAAAAAAAAGCAAAACTAGAAAAACAATTTAAAAATTCCTAATTAAACACCAAAAATATAATTCTGAAAATCAAAGAAGAGATTAATAAAATTAAAAGTAAAAAAAATGAACTAATAAAATTAGGAGCTAGTTTTATGAGAAAAATATAGATAAACCAGTGTTTAATTTGATTTTTAAAAATACCAAATTACCAGTATCGAGAATGAAAAACATGGCAAACACACAACCAATGAAAATGAAATTAAAGCAATGATTAGGTGCTATTTTGCCCAGTCATATGCCAATAATACTGATTATCTAAATGAAATGGACAAACATCTATGAAAATATAAATTGCCCACATTAACAGAAAATAGAATGTTTAAATAACCTTACATTAGAAAAAGAAATTGAACTAGCCATGAATGAGCTCCCTGAGGAAAAAGACCAGATATAAGTACAAGTGAATTCTACCCAACTTTAAAGAACAATTCTAATATTATAGAACCTGTTTGAACAAATAGACAACAAAGAATCCTAACCAAATTCCTTCTGTGTCACAAATATGGTTCTAATCTCTAAACCAGGGAGAGCAAAAACAGAAAGAAAACGATAGAGCAATTTCCCTAATGAATATTGAAGTCTCTCCTCTGAGACTTACTAGCTGTGTGAGCCTGGGCAAGGCACTTAACCCTGTCTGCCTCAGTTTCCTCATCTGTAAAATGAACTGGAGAAGCAAATGGTGAACTACTCTGGTGTCTTTGCCAAGAAAACCCCAAATGGGATCAGGAAGAGTCAGACACCAGTGAAATGACTGAACAACATACACATATGTGGGCATGTGATTTTTCCCTCAGTAGAATATAAGCTCCTTGAGGTCAGGGATTGCTCCATTTGTCTTCATATCACTAGCAGATATGACAGATTTTCAGTGCTTAATAAATGCTTGTAGATTGACTGACTGATTGCTGCTTTCCTTCCATGACAGCATATTGTAGGTGATGCCTTACTCAGTCAATCCACAAGCATCTATTAAGTGCCCCTGTGGGCCTACTACCACTGCTATAGGTGGATAGGTGCTGGGGATACAAAGAAACAAAGCACGACAGCCCCTGTCCTTGAGGATCTTACCTCCTATCAATGGGTTCTAGAACAAGGAGGCTTCCTCATTCAGTCCCCAACTTTGTTATTGTTTACTCAGATAGTAATGTTGCACAAAGCTTTAACAAGGATAAGATAGTTGGGATGCTTGCTCAGGGCACGCAAAGCAGAGAGGCATCAATTTTTTTTTTTACTTAATTTTTGTCCCAAGAATGCTAGGCCATTATAGAATCTTGTCTTGATTCTGGTGCTGATGGCTGACACAGGGGTATCAGCTTTCTTCTTCCCCTGGCTCTCACCTAACCGGGAGCTTGACAGTAAGGTCTGGGGGCAGTGCCAGGCTGGTCACACCTGGTATCTAAATCCAGTCCTTGAAAAGGACTGGGGTTAGATCCCCCTGCATGGGGACAGTAATGGGGGACTCAGTACGAGAAGTGTGAAAGCTGGGGGCCTGGGGTTCAGCAGTGACCCCCAAAGAGGAAATAGAAAACAGTAGTCTGAGATCAGGGAGCAAGCCTGTCACATCCCTCGGAGAAGTCCTCCTGGCCCTCTATGCCCTACCTCATTTTGGGTTTGGTGTGCTTGTGGATTCCCTCTCTCTGGGATCAGAGGCTGCCCATCCTGGACCACTCTTAAGGCCTGGGAGTGAGAGGGAAGCTGCTTTGCCTTAGCCCTAGGGCTGACCCCTCTCCTCATGCCCCACTCCTCCCTCCTTCCCCAGATGGCAAAGTGACTTTCAGAAGGATGCCTAAAATGAGATCGATGTGTGCTATCCAGAAAGGTATGGATATAAGGTGGTGCTGGAATCCCCCAGGAGTGGTGTTGGGGCCTAGGACTAAGGAGGAACAGTGGAAAGTGGAACAGTGGAAAGACAGTGCTGGATTTGGTCAATCTTGGCTCAGCCACTGACCAGCTTTGTGACCTTGAGAAAGGCACATACACCTTCCTTGGGCTTCAGTTCCCTCATCTGTAAAAGAAGGATGTTGGACTCAGTGACTTCTAAGGTCCTTTCCAGTTTTTGAACCTCAGGGTGTTTAGGGGTCTGGGAAGGCCATCACACCTGGGAAGGTCCTCAGCTCTCTGGAGTGCTTGCAGCCTAGGGAGGGATAGTCAGCAGAGGCTACTTGGGACCCCAGGGCAGGCCCTGAAGCCCTGGGGAAGCTGTCAGTGCACAAAGGGGTTCTGGGTCTTTCCCTGGAGGTGCCAATGGCCTCCAGTGGATAGCATCAGGCCAGCAACCCTGGCTACCTCCCTGCAGCCCCAGAGTGTTGGCTCCACTGGGTGGTGTATGACATGAAGGAAAATACTTTCTTGCTTCTCATGGAGTTTCCTCAAGGCAACAAGACACATTTCCAGATTTTACAGTACTCGTCAGTTCGTAGAGGCTCCCTTTTGGATTCGGTCAACTTGCTCTTTCAAATTCCCCGTTTCATCCCCTTGGGTAGGTGGAGAGACCTGAAAGACTGAGGGGGATCAAAAGACTAGAAACCTGGGGAAATCTGGGGAGGGAAAGAGACAGTTGGTTTGGGCTGGAAGGTCAGGGGCTGGAGTGCTGGGGGCTAGGGAGTGAGTGGGGTTGAGACGTTGGGTGAGGGGAGGGGAATGTTACCTGGGGAAATTCACTGCAGCAGCGCTGGATCCCTGGCAGATAATGACATGGATTTTGTGATGCTACTGGGCATGGAGGCATATACTGACTACCCCCTGGTGCCCAAGGGTCTCTTCTACAACCCTTTCACCCATCTGCTGTTGATTTGGGGCAACGCTATTCTGCAGAGGTGAGGGCAAAGGGGAAACTAGGTGGGGGCAGGGCATCCAGGCCACTAGCCATGTGCACACCTGGGACTACCTGAGCTCTGGGGAACCAGAAGCCTCTCCCTCTACCCTCATGCCCCCTTTGGGAATTGGCTACAGCCCTCCTTTCACTCATAGTGTCCTAAGTCATCTAAGTGACTAGACATTGAGATGGTAGAAGTAGATGGACTGGTGGGCCTGCAGTAAGGAAGACCTGAGTTCCAATCCAGCCTTAAACACTTAATAGCTATGAGACCCTCAGCAAGTCCCTCAGCCTCAGTTTCCTCATCTGTAAGATGGGAACAATAGTAGCACCTGCCTCCTGGGATGGTTGTGAGGATATAAAATGAGGTGATATCTCTAAGTGTTTGTAAGTGTAATACTAAGTCCAGATGTTGGCCACAAGTGCCCTGAGACTGTGGGCTAGAGCAAAAGGAGCCCTGAGTTCAAGTTCTGGCCTCTGACTCATTATATGATTCCAACCCTATATTTCTCCATCTGTCCAGTAGGGACATTGGATCCTGGATTCCTTGAATCTCTAGCCTGGGGAGCTGGAGATGTAAAGGGCAGGGAGAGGGTTGCACAGGGGCAAGTAGAGAGAGGCTGAACCATTTGGGCTCCTCTCCTCAGATATACTTGACCAAGCCTGGGTTCCACTCTCCTTCCCCCACAGCTACGACAATAAGAATTACATTTACATGGCCAGATTCCCCAAGGAGTCCTCAATAAAGTACATGGTCGGCTCCTACAGAGGCCAAGTGATCTTCGTCACTGAGAATGAGGAGGTGAGGAACAGGAGGTTGGCCTGACCACTCCATGGATTCTGCCTCCCTATTCTCTGTCCCCTCCTAAACTCAAGGCCCCACCCTGGGGGCTCCTCTTCCCTTGCATAGCCCTAAATGCCCCTACGCCCCTCACCCTGGACACCCTCCTTCCCAGCCCCCCAGGGAATCCCACCTGGGCCCTCAAGCTCCTGTTCTTTCTCACTTTCTCCCTCCTTGTCCTTTCTGGGCTCTTGGCCCCCAGATCTGGTTCATTGTTGAAGGCAGCTTCAAGGTACATCGTCTGTACCCATCAGATGGCTGGCAGACGTTTTTCACCCTTTCCCAGATGCAGGCCTCAAGCCTATATTCAACCAATGAGACCTCAGTCAGCATCTTCTATGACAGGATGGGTCCACAGCAGGTGAGCTTTAAAGAAAGTGCAGACTTTCCAAGCTGGCCTAGCCATCCAGGAAGAATCCATCCACACAGGGCTGAAATGACCCTCCCTCTCCTCCTTTTAAACTCCTTCCTCCACAGCTAGTCTATCTGGTTAACAAGAAAGGGGAAGGGAAGCTGGTGAAAAGGCCACTGCCAGTGAATCAAATCTTGGTGTATCAGCTGCTGGGTCTGACGTCCTATGAGATCAGTACTGAAGTGTGAGTGAAGCTGAACCCAACTGCCCATCAGGAATGACAGAGTGGTTGGGGGGTGGGGATAAAGGAGAAGTTGCCAGAGCCCAGGATCCCTGAGGGCCCCTCCCCTGCAAAGCCACCTTGAGGAGCCCTTGAACGTATAGCTCAGGTGCCATCTTCTCTATAAAGACTTCTGGGACTCCACTAGGTGAAAGTACTCTTTCCCATCCCCATTTCTTCTCATGCTTTGCCTAGACCTTCCTTCACAATGATCTCCTTATCTTGTTTCATAGTTATTTTTTCACTGGACCTTTCATCCCCCTTGTTCTTATGCTATAAGCTCTTTGGGAATAGGGTCTGTGTTATATCACCATTTTTATTTTACCAAGTACTTGCTGAATAAATAAATATGAACTAATGGATGGATGGATAGATGGATACATGAGTGTATATATGAATGAATTAATAGATGGGTGGTTGATATGTGTATGGATGGATGAATAAATGGGCAGAAAGATAAATGGATAGGTAAATTAATGGGTAGACAATTAACATTCAGATATATGGATAGAATGGTTAGATAAATGGATGAATAGTTAGAAGGATGGATGATAAATGACATGTGGATGGAAGGAGCTTGGGGCAGGGTTCGTATCCAATCTCTTTCTCTCCCTGTCCTTCCTAGGTATCCAGCGACCCTCTCCTACAATAACCCCTGCCCTTTTGAGCTGATGCAGCTGAAGGACCTGCCGAATCCACAACGATACACACGGGTGGAGCGCTATCGCGCAATGCCACCTTTTGTGAGCTCTGACGCTGGCTTCCACACCGAAGTCTCTTTGGCCATCTACCAAGGCCTTGTCTACCACCTGCTCTCACTGCATGCCAAGTATAATAAGGTATGTGTGGGTGAATCCAGGAGGGAATGTCCAAAGCAGGGGAGAGGATCATTGGAGAACTCAAGGAGTTTCCTTCCCCAGCACCTGCCTGTACCTTCTCTGTTGCCTTTCTAGCCCTATGCTGATCCTGTCCATGACCCCACCTGGCGTTGGTGGAAGGATAAGAAGCAACATCAGGTGAAAGGGATGGGCAGGAGTAGTCCCCCAGCCTCATTTCCCCTACTCTGTTTATTCTTCTGCAGGGGGGTGGGAGGGAAGTTATGGGAGTGTGTAGGCAGGGACTGTGGGATTGGGGCCAGAGGGTTCTCAGCAGTGTGCTGCAGGAGAACTGGTTGTTAAATTTTCAGGATGAGCATTTATACCTTGGAAATCAGCAAGCACTACAACTGGAGATCCAGTTGTTAAACCATCTACCAGCATACCACTGGCCCTGGGGCTCTGGGACCTGGGAGCAGTAACACCATAACCCAGAGGGACAACTAACTCATTGCATGACAGATCTGAAACGCAGAGTCATTAATGCTTTGATGCTGGTGTGGCACCAGAAGGTCTTTAGGGGAGTGCCCAAGGATCTGTGCTTGGCTCTGTGCTAGTTAATATTTGTATCAATCATTTGGATCACGGCATAATGTGCTAATTAAATCTGAAGGTAACAGAAAGGAGAGATAGCTTACACAGTGGATGACATAATCAGAGGTTCCCAAACTTATCTGGCTTACTACCTCCTTTAAAAAAAATCACTCACTGCCCCCTTGGAAATCTACTTTATTTAACCCTTTAATGATTTTTAAAAAAATTTGTGTAATTTAAAATATATATATATATATATATATATATATATTTGAATGACACATCTTAAATTCAATAATTTATTGTAAATTTGTGGAGTTTTTTCCTGCTTTGAAATTTTGATGATGCAATATCTTGTCATATAACCATATAGTATTGTATTATAAACAAATCATTACATGCACATATTCCTGCTGATGCATGCTGGATTTCCTAACAGTGTGAGACATGCTCACTCCCAACACTCGCTTGCTAAGACCTGTTGGTGGATTTGACCACTGATTGGTTCAAACTGGCATTTTGTGTGTTTATTTAGAAAATAATGTAATCACTATGACTTTAACTCTGTTACACAACAGATGAAACATGTATGAATAGTTTTTCAAAATTTTCTTATCTTGTCTTCTTTCCTTATGCTTCCAAAGCTCCCTTATTTTCATTCAATGCCCCCCAATTGCACCTGATGTTACTATACCCCGCTTCATCATTGCAGTGCCCCCAGGGGCAGTATTCCCACTTTGGGAACCTCAGAAACTAAAAAGATTTAGGGCATCGAGAGCACAGGGCTGAATCTAATATGATTAGATTGAGGACAGTGTAAATGTAAAGTCTGAATACTTGGGTTCAAAAAGTCTGTGTTCCAAGGATAAGCTGGGGAAGGTTTGGCTACACATAGGAAAAAAAGATCTTAGGGTCTTAGTGGATTGCTAGCTCAGTATGAATTTACCTTTTGATGTGTCAGCCAAGAATGCCAATGCCATCTTTACTCCATTAAGAGAGAAAGCAGGGAGGTGATAGGAAGTCCACTTGTACTCTGCCCCAGTCAGACTACACCTGGACAGTTGTGTTTGGTTCTGGATGCCACATTTCCATAAAGCCACTGACAAACTAACTAGTCTAGAGGAGGGCGTGAAGGATGATGAGGGCACTGGAGAATATGCTGTGGGAGAATCTGTCAAAGGAACTGGCCGTGCTTAGCCTGGACAAGAAGAGACTTAGCTGGAGACAGAACAGCAGGATATCATATTGAGATGGCCGTTGTGTAAAAAGAGGGATTCAACTTATTCTGCTTTGCCCCACAGAGCAAAACTAGGAATAGTTGGGAGAAAAAGGGAGGAGAGGTAGGGAAGACGAGGAGAGGCAGATTTAGGGAAAACTCTCTAACAATCAGGGCTTTCCATTAGAAGAGCTGAGAAAAGCTGGATGAGGTTGGGGTGGGGCAGTAGAGAGAGGAGATACCTTGGAGGGGGATTCCTCTTTGGGTCTGTGAGTTCCTTTCCAGCTCTTGAGATTCTGGGATGCTTGGAGCTATGGGGGCTGATGGGATCTTCAGGAGGTGCCCAGAGCCTAACCAATCCCTCCCTGGTCTTGGCAGGCTTTCTATTTTTATAAAGCCAGTAACTTTGAGAGTATGTATGGCGTGCACATTGAAATGGATGGCTATGAAAAGCTTTATAAATTGAATTCCCAGAATCGCCTGCCCGAATACATCTACCTGGACAAGGGGACCATCTACAGCTTCTCCATTTACCTCGTCTACCCAAAAACTTCCTGGAAAAGTGGTGGGCCGATGGGGCCCCCAAGGCTGGTGGAGTGGAATTGGGTTGAGGGGAAGATGGTGGGGTAGCCTGGCAGGTGGCTGGAAGGAGGGTCTCTGAGCTGCTGGCCCACCCTTGTCTCCCTCCTTCCCTCTTGCAGACAACTTCCTGGGCCAAAAGAGGCATTTGCGTCTGGCTGTGATAATGGCTGATCCCATGTGTGTGTCAGCAACAGTGAAGGAGCAGGCTTTAGTGAACCGAAATGCCATGCTCTTCCAGGTGAGATGGGCAAGCCATGCACACTTGCATATGTATGTTGCTGTGTGTCTGTGTGTGTCTTCTAGCTACAGTCCAATTCACCTGGATTCTTGACCAAGGAGGAATTAACATCCTAGGCACCAGATGAGGAAACTGTGATTGAGAAAGACCAAAGAAATGGTCTAGGTTCCAGATCAGGGGAGGTCTCAGTTCCAGGCCCCAAAACTCTTTGGCCAACAGAATGCATCAATTCACCATTCAACGCCATAAGCACTGATTAGGTGTCCTTTATATACTAGACACTGTACTAGACCTAGTATACAAAGTCAAACAAGAAAACATTGTTTTTCTTCTCTCAAGGAGTTTATATTCTATAGGGGATAGGTGCACATGACACATACACAGGCATACAGTCACACTCAGAGAAAGGTTGTGATTGAGTTATCTGGGCAAGATGGGCCTTGGGACCCCTGGAGAGAGTTAGATCTCACCTCCCTTCCACTCTTCCAGGAGAGGACTGAGGGGGTGATATGGAAGAGCTCTCCAGAATCCCAGTCCCTTAACACCTTTCCCTCAACCTGACCAGGTGTCTGTCAAGGACAGACTCAGATGTTCTGATCAAACCATCAGTGGATACAACCTCATGAAAACAGCCTTACTTATCAAGGTGGGAGACAGGGAGGAACAGAGGGAAGGGATCACCCCTCTGTCTTCTGGGTGGGAAGGTGGCTCACAAATGACAGGGTTAGAAGAGGGAGGTCGTTAGTCGACAACAAGGAGCAAAAGACCCCTTGGGCCTGGGATGGCAGTAAAAGAAATGGGGGGTAGAAGAAGGTGGCTGCCCAGCACTGAGCAGTCTTCTCTACAGGTGGTTGGCTCAGTTGGGAAGTGCTTTATTAGAACCCGATATGGACATCTGATGCAGGTAACCAAGGAGAGACCACGGGGATCTGACAGATTCTTAGGGGAGGGGGACACTCTCCAGGCTGGGCTCTGGTCTTCCCAAGATGAGGGAAGGTGAAGAATTCATTCTCCTGCTCACTGAAAACTGACCCACCCCCACCACTTCCAAGTCCCTCCTCTCATGTGGGAATGGCAAAAGGGATGCAATGGTCCTCCTCCTTGGGTGGTTTCAAGTCCTTTTTCATCCCTCAGACAAAATGTTGTCTAGACTTCAGATCCTAGAGAATGAGGAGGAAGGAATCTTAGAGGTCCTGGCACATGTCCATTTCCCTCTTTCTCCTTCAGCTCTGCATATTAGTGGGCAGAGCCTAGCTAGATTCTGCTCAAACCAGGAGGGTTTGCTCCCAGCCAAGAGGGTACTCTGTGGGTTCCCTGGGAGAAAGAGCAAGGCATGTTCCTGCTTCCTCATGACTTGGCCAAGAGAGGACAGTAGGGGATTGGGAGCAATGGTTGAATTTGGTGTTTCTCTCTTACCCTCAACTCTTCCCTCTTCCTCTCTCTCTTCCCTTCTCCCACTTTCTTGGGCAGGGCAATGACATGATCCCCATATTCATTGGCTGTCCCCCTGGCAAGCGGTTGGCCTTTGACGTCACCTTGACCCTTCAGCAGAACAAGGAGACCAATAAAAGATACTTTGACTGCGTGTATCCAGACCCTGAAATGCCTTGCTTCTTATTCAGTGATCGTGAGAGAGGGGCCCCTGCCCAGCCACCCAGCACATGACCTTCCCCCAGCCCAGTACCACCCCTCTGCCCGACCAAGGCTCCACCCTCTTCCCCAGTTCAGCCTTGTCTCTTCCTCCCACAGCTTTCTTCCCCTTCTTCCTGATCCAAGACATGGTGACTGGTGAGTCAGGAAGCTTCAATGGCAGGTGAGCCCCCTACCTTCCCTGCTCTGGCTGCCTTTTGGGGAAGTCTGGGGGAAAAAATACAAATAAACACAGGGATTCCTGGGGACTTCTGAAGTATTGGAGAGACGCCACTGGTGAGCTACAACCCCTGCCCAAGGAAGTGCTGACAGGCTAAGCCTTTCCTTAAAACCCCCGAGATCATCCCCTCCTAGGGATCTGCCTTTTGACTCACTGTGTGTGTGTGTGTGTGTGTGTGTGTGTGTGTGTGTGTGTGTGTGTTGTGAGGGCTGGGTGAGGACAACAGTACCCCTCCCTTTTCCAAGGTGGGGAAGAGTTGGGGGAGGGGAACTGCCTACCTGGCTGGACCCTTGTTGTCCAAGTTCCTGTGCCTCTGCTGCAGCTATGTCCTCAAGGTGATTGGAGGAGGGGCTTCCAAGTACAACATTGTGGATTACTCAGAGGCTGACATCTACCGCTACAACAGTCCTAAAGATGAGTAAGTACTGACGCCAAGCCCGGTGGGCTCCGTGAGTCCCTCCTCCATATTCGCCTTCCTCGGCCACTCTCTTCCTAGCCTCCTTTTACTTGTAAGACTTGGGGCCAAGACAGGCAGACACAGTCATTTCAGTCGTGTCTGACCCTTCCTGACCCAACTGGGGTTTTCTTGGCAGAGATACTGGAGTGGTTTGCCATTTCCTTCTCCAGTTTACTTTACAGATGAGAAAACTGAGGTAAACAGGGTTAAGTGACTTGCCCAGGGTCACACAGCTAGTGCGTATCTGAGGCCTGATATGAACCCAGGTCTACCTGATTCCAGGCCTGGCAATTTAGCCACTGTGCCACCTAGCTGCCCTAAGATAAACTTACACCCCTACATATACTGGCATGGGTGCCCCCAGATACTAATTACAGGATCTGATCTCTGATTTGAAGGGATCAGTTTAGCCAACTAGTCTGATCCATAGACCTGACCAACGACCCCTCTATGACTTCCTTAACAAGTGGTCCTCTAGCCTTTGCTTGAAGATCTCCAAAAGAGGGAGCTCACCACCTCTAGAAGCAGCCTGCTTACATTTGGAACCCCTTTCCTGGTCAAGAGGTTTTCCTGCCTTTGGGATAAAACCCAATGCCTCCTTTCCTCATGGACAAAATCACAGAAGAACAGATTCTGAGCTGAAAGGGTCCTTAAAGGTCCAACCCCCTCATTTTACAGATGAGGACTGTGAGGTCTAGAAAGGTTAAGTAATTTCTCCAAGCTCATATATCTGTGTCAGAGCTGGGATTCAGAGTCAGGTCCTCTGACTGTCTAAATCCAGCCCCTGTCCCATGGCACCATTCTTGGCCTCTGGGGCCAAACAGAATCCATCTAATCCCTTCTCTCCATATGATAGCCCTACAATTACTTGAAGACAGCCCACATGACCCTTTTGGGTCTTACCTTCTCCAGGCTAAGCACAAGTAAAATCTAAGATTTAGAGCTGAAGGTCAGAGGCCACATATGCTGGGCTCAGTAAGCTTTTGTTAATAGCAAGTGTGCCTACTATGAACTGAGACATGGCCTCAGGCACACCTGTGTAGAAATGTGTGCATGCACACACAAGCATCCCATGGAGGATCTAAGTTCACCAGATGGCTGGCTTAGGAGGCCCCAGTCAGAACTAGAACATGGCCTTTCCTCTCTCTAGTACTGACAGCCTCATCTGGACTGTCAAGGACAACTGGATGGATAGCCATTCCTTTAGCATCCTGCGGTATAACAGCTCTGGCATTGAGTATGCAAGGCCCTGCTCCCAGAGTCCTTTTCTCTACCTGTCCAGTGTCTGCAGCTTGCTCCTAGCCCTTGGGTGAAGGGATGGAGCTCCCTGCCTCCCCAATATCTGCAGGCTGCTCCTGGCCACCTTTCTGGATGGAGGGCTAGGGTGGAGGTAGAAGGATGCCTTGGGTCTCCCCAGTCCCCCAGAGCTCCACAATCCCTCTAGGTGGCTGTGTCTGGAGAACTCTCCTTGTCACGATATTATTCCCAAGCATATCTTTTCTCCTGACTTCTATTTCAAAATCATGGTGAGCAACAGGTAAGGTCTCATGGCAAAATGAATGTGGAGTGGGGTGAAGGGATTGGGGAGAGCCTCTAGCTTCCCCCTTGGGCCCAGCTCCACCCTAGAACAAGCCTCACTGTCTCTCTTCCTGGCCAGGGACGTGGATACGAGCACCTACTGTGATTATCAGCTCACCTTCCTCCTCCACGTCCACGGCCTCCCACTCAGCCCTCGAAGGGCCCTCTTCTTCCTTGGGGTGAGCCTCTCTTTTTCCTGCCCCTCCCCCTCTGCCCCAACTTCTTTCCCAGTCTTCTTCATTCTGTAGTGGTGGGGACCAGCTCTGGGCCTAGAGTCAGAGTACCTGGATTTGATTCTTGGCTCTGCCACTTACCTTAATACCTTGGCCCAGTTATTTGACCTCTCCTGGCCTCAGTTTCCTCGTCTGTAAAATGAGGTGATTGGATTAGATGTCTTATAAAGTCCCTTTCATCTCTAAATCTATGTTCTCATGGACAAGCCTTTCCATACCCATTCCCCACCCCCACCCCAGCCCTAAATGACTGATTCCTTCACTCCCTCCATTTTGTGCAGCTCCTCCCCTTTCCCTCCCTTACATCAACATCACCTCTTCCCTCAAGCCTTTAGTGGTCCTGCCTTATGCCCAACCTTTCATCCCGTCTCCTTGGGAGTTCTCAGAGATTTTTTTCCTTCATTACCTGCTCTGCCCCACTGTCCTAAGGCTCCTCCCCTACCCTCTTGCCCCCACCAGGTAACCTTGACTGTGCAGTTGGCCTTTATTTCCTTCTATATCTTCTGGTGCTTCTTCTGGCCAGGCTTGAAGAAATGGTGGTCCCACTTCAAGTGGAAGGTCAATGATATCATCATGGCAGGTGAGGTCTGGATTAGTTGACCAGAGGAACTGGAGGGAGGTCCAAGGGCTAGCTAGGGCAAGGGAGCCAGGGTCTAGCTAATGGTGGGGACAGCGTTAGGGGCCTAGCCAGGGACAGGGAGTAGTGGCTACCTAGGGATATGGGGTAGGATTGTGGTCTTCCCCGGGCAGGGGCAAGACCGTCTGAGCTGCATTGGAAGGCTAACCCACTAGGCCTGGCTCTTCTCCATGCAGAGTCTTTCTCAACATTCACCGCATCCAGCAGTTCCTCCCCCTCCATGGTCAGTAATGTCTTACAGAAAACTGAAACAGAAGCAAGTTCTTTCCGAAAGTCAAGACCCAAGAAAAGAATTTGAGGCTATGACAGCCTCCACCTATCCCTTCCAGCTTTTCCTTCTCTTTCTTGGCCTCTACCCTTCCATCCCTATGTCTTCCATCCCTTTCCATCCCTTCTGGCCTATCATCCTTCCTTCCAGTCTCTTGTCAGTCCTCCATGGATACCCCACTCCTCTCTAATCCAACATCTCCTGAGACCATCAAGCCTCTCCCTTTGCCTCCCAAGTTCCCCTGTCATTTTCCATCCCTTCTGGCATTCTCCTTCCCTTCCAGCCTCCCTCATCCTCTGGATCAGTCAATAAAAAGCCATGTCTAGGGAATGGGTGTAGTTTCTGCACTGTTTGGGCCATGGAGAGAGAAGAGGCCATCTCTTTCCAGGACCAGAGACATTTGGGGGAGGGTAGAGAAGGACACTAGAGCACAAGGACCAGAGAAAAGAGGAGGAGGGAGGACCTCCTTCATTGCTGGCTTAAGCTTGGGAAATGCCAGCTAAACTGATGCTCAATATCTTCTAGAGGAACCTGGAAGAACACCTGACAAGGGGTTGTGGGGGATGGGCACTTTCTACTCCTCTCTTCTTCCTCCCTCTGGTGTCTGTCACACTGATCAAGGATGGAGCTGGAGGAAGGGAGCGACAAGAGGCCTCCATAACATAAGAAACAGACCATGAAGGATGGAGGGGGAGAAGATAAAGTGATCCTAGCCCAGTGATGCTGGTGATGAGGATGAGGGCCTGCATTTGGTGACAGCCTAAGAGAATGAGCCATTCCAATCTGGAGAGAATCTAGCTGAGGAGGGATGAGAGCTCAATCACTTCAGAGAGCAGGATACACAGGGCAAGAGCTACAGGCTGGCAGACAGAACACCTGGATTTCAGTGCCAACCCTGTTTCCCTTCCTCTCTCTAGACCTCAGTTTCCTCATCTATTCAATGAGGATGATGATATTCAAAACCTACCTCACTAGTCTTTAGAGGAAAGCACTTGGTAAATCTTACTGGGTTTTAGAAATGTGAATGTCCAAACTGGGAAACCAGAGAGGGGGAAAGGGCCTGCCCCCAGTCAGAGTCGGTTATGGGCATGCCTGAGATCCAGCTTACTGAACTCCCAGAGTAAGACTCTTTTGTGCCATGTCATGCTGTGATCCCGTTAGCTAGGAAGGGTGTGGGGAATGCAAGAGAGCTCCAGGGTTGTGTTCACCTAGGGAAGCTGGGAGATATGTTCTTCCCATACCCCTTTTTCTCTCTCCTGAGCTCCAGTTCACTTTTGGATAATTTGAGGTCAGTGCCCCATAGGCATCTCAAACTTAACCTGTCCAAAACAGAATTCATCTTTCCCCCCCAAACCCTCCCTCCCCACTTCCACATTTACTTATTAATGTAGAAGGCATCACTACCTGTCTAATCATCCAAGTTCACTATCTCTAAATCATCTTTGACACCTCACTCTCACCCCACATATCCAACCTGTCTAGAAATCTTGCTTCTACCTTCCCAGCATCTTTCCTATATGTCCTCTGTTCTCCACCCAGCCAGCCACAAGCCCAGGTCAAGCCCTCACCTGGACTATTGCAATAGCTTTCTACTTAAGACTCTACCTGGAGTCTTTAATCCCACCCAGGCTTTCTACATAGTTAATAAAGTGACTTTCCACAAATCTGATCATTTCACTAAGGAGTGAATCAATAAACTCTGATTTCCCTATTTTCCTTTAGAATCAAACTCCTCTGTTATCTAAAGCCGTAACTTGGCTTTAGCCAACTTCTACAGCCTTGTTATACAGGCGTCCTTTACACACACATAGACATACACACACACACACACACACACACACACACACACACACACACACTTTACAGTCCAGCCAGGCAGAATAATGAAGAGGGTCTCCAACTATCAAGGCAGATTTTAGTGCTCTCTACCAAAAGCAAAATGGCTAATGCCTTCTTGACTCCATTAATTATAATTTCAGAACTCTAATGTACAAAAAATGGTCAAAGGATATGAATGGGGAATTTTTCAGTAAAGAAACAAAAATAATGTAGAGTCATGCAAAAATGTTCTAAATAATTGATTAGAGAAATGCAAATTAAAACAACCTTCAGATATCACCACACACCTACTAGATTGGCTGAAATCATAAAAGGAGAAAATGACAATTGTCATAAGGGATATGGAAAAATTGGGATACTAATACATTGTTAGTGGATCTGTGAACTCATCCAATCATTTTGGAAAGAAATCTGGAATTATGCCCAAAGACTTACAAAACTGTGTATACCCTTTGACCCAACAATACCACTACTAGATCTGTTTTCCAAGGTGATCAGGGAAAAGGAAAAGAAGTTATATTTTCTAAAATATTTACAGCAACTCTAATTATGGTGGCAAAGAACTGGAAATTGAAGGAATGCCTAACAATTGGAGAATGACTGAACAAAGTTGTGGTATATGGTTGTGATGGAATATGTATGCTGTAAGAAATGATGAGCAGGTTGATTTTAGGAAAACATGGAGAGGCTTGCATTAAATAATGAAGAATAAAATAAACAGAACCAAGAGAACAGTGGATATAGTAACAGAAATATTGTTTGAAGAATAATTGCGAATGACTAAATTATTTTATAATTTGAATATTATAAATACTCAAATCAACTACAAAGGACCTATGAAGGAAGATGCTTTCCACCTCCAAAGAAAGAACCAATAAGTAGAAATATGTACAATATGGTTTTACATATACATACACATTTGTGTCCAATGGTGGCCTTCTTTAATGCAGGATGGGGAGGGAGGGAGAAAAAAAAGTACAAAGCAGAGATCAAAAGAAAACTCAGAAAGAAGCATAGAAAATCAGGGTAACTTTCAAAATGATGTGTAATTACATAGTTTTTCAGAAAAACTAAACTGTGAAATGGGGATTCATGTTTTCATATTGAGTACTTTTTTGTGTCGTGCTGTGTACATGAAAATTATTTTGTCTTTTTGTATTCAAGTTTAAAATTAATTTAAAAAAATTTTTTTGAAAAAGTTATACTGGAAGCAATGACAGATAGAAAGGATGAATGTAAGAGTGTTCAATGGTTCTGTAAAAATACTGTCAATGGATTTAAATAATTGCAGAAATATTCATTGCTCATGGATATGTTGAGCCAACATAATGAAAATAGCAATACCATCTAAATGAATTTACTTGTTCAGTGTCACGACAACCAAACTACCAAAGGTTACTTTATGGAGTGAGAAAGTTGATTCGTTGAGGACCCCTACTCTATTCCAATCAGTATTAATCAATTTGATATGATGCCATAGGGGTAATGATTATAAGTTATGTATATCAGATCCCAGAGCTGTGAGCTGCAGATTATAAAATCACTTGCTTAATCATACAAAGTTAACTAGAGGCCCTCCACCTTTGTTTTTCCTTGTCATGGTGACCGAGCTCAGGTGACATAGGTGACTCAACTGCATGGAAAGCCCCCAACTTATTTTTGTGCCTCTGGACCATTCTCTCTTGTCCAACAAGAGCAGGTGACCCTCTTATGACCATTTAGTGGAGATGCCCTATGCTTCATCCAATCTGTGACTCCCTGCCTCTGGCCCTCCACCTTCCCCCCCCACTAATATGTCATTTTTGGCCCTCAAGACCAAGGTCTATCAACCAATGAGATTCTGTGTTTTGCCATGCTTCTTTTGCATATTTGGGTAAGAATAAGCAGTGTACTAATCCGTACTTCGTATAAGTCACATAGGAATAGAGATTCTAATAGAAGGGTCCTCTAACAGGCCCTCAGACTTTAGTGTCATGTTCCTTACTTGTTTACCAGCTGTGGAGTTCACTTGCACAACCATAAGAATGCTGACAAAGATATCTCTATCCTGTTTTGTTCAAATTCCCTGACCAAACCAAGAATGGATGGTGGCATGGTATGGAAAGTTTTCCCCAATATATTCTTGGAGCAATCGCTCCTGCCTAACCTAAGGAGAAGCCCGTCCATCTTGTGGCCACACTTAGTCAGCGGAGTTATTCCTTGCTTCACCCAACTTGTGACCCTGCTGACAGATTATTTTTGCTTATGTTAGCCTATGCATCATAGGTCAACCAATGGAATTTATAGCTGTTCTTGATTTAACTCTATAAAAATAGGGCCCTGGAAGGAGGGGGCACCTCAGATTATGAGGAATATTTGAGGTCCACTTCATTAGAAGGGACCATGGACCCTTTAATAAAGTGCCATTGATTCAGAGCTCTGCCTCAATTTCTCTCATTGTAAATTGGATAATTTTTATCACCACAGGAGCTAGAATAAGAAAATTCATCTGAAGAGGGAAAATGTCCAGAATTTCAAGGGAAATAATGAAAAAGAACTGGAAGGAAAGGGAGTTTAGGAATACCAGATCTCAAACTATATACTATAAAGCAGTTATCATCAAGATAATTTGGTACCAGTTAAAAAATAGCTGGGTCATTGGAAGAGATTACGTATGCATCAAACATAAAAAGATAGACAAAATTGCCTGTTGTTGTTCAGTCATTCAGTTGTATCTGACTCTTTGTGACCCCATGAACCACATCCCACCAGGCCCTTCTATCCTCCACTATCTCTCAAAGTCTGTCCAAGATCATGTTCGTTGTTTCTATACTATCTATCCATCTCATCCTCTGTCATCCTCTTTTCCTTTTGCCTTCAATGTTTCCCAACATTAGGATTTTTTTCCAATGAGTCCTGTCTTCTCATTATGTGACCAAAGTATTTCAGCTTCAGCTTCAGTATTGGATCTTCCAGTGAGTAACCTGAATTTAATTATTAACTGATTTGATCTCCTTGCTGTCCAAAGGACTCTCAACAATTTCTCCAGCCCATAAAAACCATAGCTTTGACATTACAGACCTTTGTCAGCAAGGTGATGCCTCTGCTTTTGAGTATACCATCCAGATTTGTAATAGCTTTCCTTCCAAGGAGCAAGCATCTTTTAATTTCATGGCAGTAGTCACCATCTGCAGTGATCTTTGAACCCAAGAATATAAAATCTGACATTGCTTCCATTTCTTCCCCTTCTATTTGCCAGGAAGTGATGGAACCAGTTGCCAAAATTGTAGTTTGTTTGATGTTAAGCTTCAGGCCAGCTTTTACAGTCTTTTACCCACATCAAGAGGCTTCTTAATTCTCCTCTTACTCTCATCAGAGTGGTATGTTCTGTATATCTGATATGATTGAGATTTCTTCTGGCAACTTGATTCCAGCTTTTGATTCATCCAGCCAGGTATTTCCCATGATGTACTCTGTATATAAGTTAAATAAGGTAACAATACACAGCCATGTCATACTCCTTTTCCAGTCTTATAACAATTAGTTGTTCTGTATTTGATTATAATTGTTGCTTTTTGGCCTGAATATAGTTTCCTCAGGAGACAAGATGATCTGGTACTCATCTCTTTGAGGACTTGTCACGTTTTGTCGTGATCCACACAAAATGGCTTTAGTGTAGTCAATGAAGCAGAAGTAGATATTTTTCTGGAACTCCCTTGCATTCTCCCTAATCCAGTGAATGTTGGCAATTTGGTCTCTAATTCCTCTGCCTCTTTGAAAACCAGCCTGCTCTTCTGGTAATTCACGTATTGCTGAAGCCTAGCTTGCAGCATCTTAAGCATAATTTTACTGGTGTTTGAAATGAGTACAATTGTTTGGTAATTTGAACATTCCTTGGCATTGCCTTTCTTTAGGATTGCGATGTAAACTGATTTTTTGCAAACTGGTTGTGTTTTCCAAATT